GTACATATATTATATGCTTAATCCCTGCAATTGTGTATTATATACGCATAATATTTGTACCCATTTTCCTGATGCAACTTTTAGGGATCAAAATTTAATCATCATCAATGTAATGTGATCATGGTAAATGAATATTTTATTTTGTAGGGTAATTGTCAACTTGATTATGAAGCTTATGAACTAGGTCCATATGTATTGGAATCAAATTCTTACAAAACTTGATGAAAATATTGCATGACACTTATCAGTAAGAGAACATGTGTAAAGTTTTATATGTATTCAAATAAAATTTGTCTGCAGAATTTCTTATTAATTAATTGCTCTTTTTTTTTATGTTAAGTTTTTTTAATAACTTATATTAAAAAAAAAATGCAATTTCATCCAGAAAATATAAAAAAAATTTGCACATGTCAATCATAAGTTTAATAATAAAAAAGTGTAAAACTTACATTGTTGCTGTAAGATTTACTCAATATTACATCAGCATCATAAAGATTTACACAAGTTTATGCTAAAATAATTTCCTGATGCTTATTGAAAAATATTTCAAATAAATTTAATAAATAAATTTATCATTTAGAAAATTTTTTAACAATACCAGATAAAAAAATTTTATTTATGAATATAATTAGTGAATAGTATTATTTTCAAAATTCTAATATCTTGCTTGTAGAGTTTAAGAAAAGTGGTGAACTATTCGGTGTGCCAACTTCACTCTGAGCATAAATTGGTTTTATCTCAGCATGGTGAATTTCTTTGGATGGAGTATATGAGTGAAGAGGAAGACTATAAGGAGCTTGAGATACATTTTCAAACATGTTATTAACATTTTCAGTACACACATCATTTACAATTTTGATTGTTTCTAGCAAATTTATCTATCCAACAACAACCAAACAACCTTTGATGAGCATTGAAAAAATATTAAAGATATAATGCCTTAAACACCCATAAGAGAGATATGAAATCAAAAAAATGAATTTGCTGTTCTGTCCAATCAATTGGAACAAATGATTTGCTTATTTGTTCCACCAAAAGGATGCCATTTGTTGGATTTGACATTGCCCATAGCTCTATTCGTTTTTCTACAGTGTGTGAAATAATTAAAATATCAAAACTAGGGAAATCAGATTACCCATAGTTACCATACGCATCCAAAAAAAAGCTCAGACATTTGGAAAGGTTTCATTTGAAGCTTTTTTATAATGATATGCTAATTCATTTAACATATACACATTCCCAATTGCTCCTTTTAAATGGTCCCATGTAGACTGTAGCTTATCCACAATATTGTAACCGCCACTAATTTCAAGATGTCCTATTTCTATCAATGACTTTCTTATACAAATAAAAATGCTCCATCTGCCTTTTGTTCATATGAGTTAGCCATCTTCTTTCTTTTATAATATGATTCTACAGATGATAATATTGATAATATTATTTCCCCACTTTAACCAGGAAAGGATGACAATATTATTTATCAATTATGTAATGCAAATTACCAGCAACTTTTTTACACTAAGATAACATCTACAAACATGCTTACAGCTTATAGATTACATCTTTCTCTTCACCACAAAATAGTTCCATCAGACATTGATTGATTACATATAAACCATAGCTGCTTTCTGAAATGTTCCCTCTCTGCATAACAGAATGTTCAAGATATACTAATTTGTGGCTACAGGTAGCATAAATACACACACTAGTATGTTGAAGCTTCTTTTTCCTATTCCTTTCCCTCATCATATTACTAACCCTTTCCTTTTCTTTTAGATTCAGAAATCATCATCTGCTTTATCTTTTGGTGATTTAGACTAGTGTTCCATGTCGCAATCCAAAAAAGAAAACAAAATGGTTGTAAAGGTGGTTGCAACCAGCAGTTGCAATCATTTTTATATGACACAAAGATGGTAGCAACCATCATCAAAAGTTGCAGCTGGTATCCTTAATTTAGACTCTTTGTCTTGCAAATTCTCTTCCTTGAATAGTTTTTTTTTTTTTTGATGATGTAATCTTGTTGTGACATTTATTAATTTAAAATTGATAAAAAAAATTTTTAATATTTACAATGCATAATTCCCCCATTTTACCAAAAAATTATAATTGTTTGGCACCTTGATTAGTGATACATTGTATTTTAGTTTATCTATAAGATTGGTTTTTTTCTTAGTTTTGACTTTGATATTCTTAACTTCAAGCTCAGCATACTTCTTTCTAAATTTGCTAACCTTGACTGTAAACTTGGTATTTATAGTGATCACAATCATCATATTCATGAATATTCGTTAAGGGGATTACAGTTATCAAAATCAAGTGATTGGCACATAATTTTAAGGGATTTTTGGATTTTCGATAAGTGTAACCCCCTTAATGAATATTCATGAATATTCATGAATATGATGATTGTGATCACTAGGTATTTAATTCTCTTAATGAAATAATTGTAGATTGTGTATCTGCCATTGTTGTATATAAGGTGCAGATATATTCAATTCTTTATCATAAAGATATAATTCACATGATAAAAATCCCTGAACTATGTAACATCAATATCAATATATCATTGATAACAGCAAAATACATGTGTAAACTAAACATCATTATTTATGATAAATCAGCCACCAAGGCCAGCTTATTGATGCAGTAAAAATAAAAAATAAAATACATGATAAAAACATTGCAGATCATGCAATTTAATAATGATTACAATTATGGAATACTTTATTGATTTTTCCTATACCCAAATCAGATGCTTATGATCACCAAATAATAAATTTTTACAAGCCATTTTATATTTCTCATTCAATGACCACGTTAAAATGGTACTACAAAATATAAATCCAATGTATACACAATTTCTATCAAGCTGGTAAATAAAAACTTTAATTTCATATTTCATCAGAAGTCAATGGGCAAGGGTATCTAGAATACCTTGATGAAGATGGTGAAGGTGGACCATTATCATTACTATCATCATGATCATTAGGTGTAAGAGAATGAGGATTTATTATTTGAGCTCTTTTTCCAGTTGGATTTAATGGTGAACTCTTGTTTACATCACTGATGTGGTCTTTCAATATTGATGATTGTGAATGCAATGCTGTATTTTGCCAATGCGATTTCTTAAATTCTTCAAGTAACCAAAAGGAATTATCTAAGCCTCTCTGTAAAAAATAATTAGAATAAGACTTTTTAATATAAGGAATGCATTCAAATTTTACTTACCCCCAAATTCCATAAAATTCTTAATGCATGCACTAATTCATAACTATACATGTAACCAACAGGAGAGACCGTCCTATATAAGGAATGGATTTTCACAATTGATTTCAATTTTTTTTATACAGTTTAAAATACT